CTCTTATAAGCGGAGAGAAGATCCTCCCTGTCAACATGGAGGGCACTATTCGCGAAAGCCCGCTCGTGCGCGACGTTCTCATAATCGGAAATGATCGTCTAGTGCCCAGTCTTCTAGCGTTCCGCTCCACGACTGCATATGGGCTAACCGATGACGAGTTGGTCGAGGCCATCCAACCCTACATGGAGAGTGCGAACCTGATCGCTGACGAAATTGCACGTCTTACTCCTGACATGATAGCACCGCTGGGTGTGGATGTTGAGTATCCCGCTACCGACAAGAACAATATCATCCGCTCGGCTGCGTATGCTCAATTTGAGGATGTAATCGAGGCCCTTTACAGCAAGGACAAGGGAGCCGTTGACGGTCGCGACGGGAAGAATTTAAAGTTCGATGTTGAGCAGCTGGAGCAATTCGTACTGAGTCTCATCCGCGAGCAATCAGGTATCGAAGTTCCAGACGTACATGCCGACTTATGGGTAGATAGCCTACGTGCCGCCCAGGTGCGTAGGCTACTACAACGGGACCTCGACCTCGCAGGCCATTCGTTACGTACCAATGAAGCTCGCTCGGCTTCTCTTTTCAATCCGAACAGGCGAGCAAATTGAAGATTTTTGTCGAAATGACAAAATTGAAATATTGAAGATGGAGAAGATCATCGATGACCATGGTAAATTTCGACCGCGGACGCACAGAGGAGTACCAACACCGATGAAGCAGACCGTAGTAGGTATAGCACCCAGTTTTACGTTGATGTCGACTCACAAATGGCTTCAGACTCTCACCGGCACAACTGGCGCACTTGGTGCTCACCTACTCAGCCAACTCCTAAACGACCCCGATATAGCGCATGTCTTCTGTCTCGTTCGAGGCAACGACGCGCCGGGTCGCATCAACGAGTCCCTGAAGGTACGAAAGCCGAGCGAGATAGGCAGCGATACGATGCGGGCTAGAAAGTTGACGGCTCTGACAACCAACGGCATGGGCGCTCCGAATCTCGGGTTGTCGCCAGAGGACTACGCGGTCCTACAGAAATCTGCCACCCTCATCATCCACGGCGTCTGGCCCGTGAACTTCAACATCTCGCTGACCAGTCTCGTCCCTCACATAGCGGGCTTGCGTAACCTCCTCGACCTATCATTGCGAGTTCCATTTCGCGATCCCGCGCGCCTGATATTCGCAAGCAGCATCTCGACAGCCTTCCAGACGCCCACGCCAGCCAACGTTCCCGAAGCCCCCATCTTATCTCTCAACTTCGCCGCGGCTACGGGCTACGCGCTCGAAGCTTGCAGGTGAGCGGATCTGCCCCTCCGCCGCGACAGGCGGGGCTACGGTCGGCGTCTTACGGATAGGTCAGATCTCAGCCGACACCGTCGACGGGATCTAGAACGACAAAGAGGCAATCCCGATCCTGGTTCGGAGTGCGACGGAGGTACACGCACTACCGCGTCTTGAGGGTGATCACGATACCTGCGATTGGATGCCGGTCGACACGGTAGCTCGTACATGCCTGCAGCTTCCCGGGACGCTCGACCCAAAAGCGGCTGGAGCGACGTTCTACAATGTCAGGCCGCCGCATGCGTTTTCCTGGAATCGGGATTTCTTGCCGGCGTTGAGGGAGGCAGGGTTCGAGTTCGAGGACGTCAGCCTTGAACAATGGTTAAAGAGACTGCGCTCGCGGGCCGAAGACCTAGGGCCGGCTGCCGAGACAAGATTGCCTGCTGTCAAGCTTGTTGACTACTACGTGGATACGTATGGAGGCTTGGGCGTCGGCTCCGGCTCGGGGTTAAGGTTTGATATTCAGAAGGCTTGCAATGATAGCGGTGCTCTAAATATGTGCCCGCAGGTCTTAGATACCGATCTCGTACCGAAGATGCTACGGCATTGGCTAGGCGATGCCGTGATAGATGGATCTTGATCGTTAGTACATAGATATCAGTAGAAGATGCAGATGTCACCTCTCCCCTAGACCATGTCACGGGCATAGGGGGTGAATAAAAAAAATCTCTTGGTATTATGAAGACAGGAGTATGGATTTAAAGACGTATCTGCAAGAACGCCCGATGCGGCCGAGCTCATGACTTCGGCGATCTTACAATTCAGAAAAGACTCTGTCCCGACCCGAAACTCCACCAAGTGCAAACCACCAATCGTCATCACAGTTAACCTAACCATCGTATCTGCATCAGAACTCATTAACACTCAATCGTGACTCGTCGTGAACCAAGTCATTAGCTCTGATCCTGCTCCAGGTTTACTCGATCCGACCCCTATAATTACCCATCTTCTCAATGGAACTCATGATGCCGCTCCGCGTGCCCGAGCCACTACCTGGGCGCGGGAGACCACCGTGAGATCCACCGTTCTTGCTTCGCTCGTGAGTGATACCGCCAATCCTACTCTGCGTCGGCTTCTTCACCGAGCCGGGAGCTCTGAGACCCGATACTCGACCGCCGATACTACTGCGGAAGTTCTCGGGCTCTGCTGGCTGAGGCCTGGGAAGGGTCGGTTTGGCTGCTGGGGGCGGCTTCTCCTTCTCCTTCTCTGCCTGCGCAAAACTCTGCATCGACATCATTTCCTCGGCTAGTATGACTAGCTCGCCCTTCTCGACACGTTCCTTCTCGAGAAGCTGACGTAGCTCGCGGTTGTCCACCTTAATACTATTAACGACAGCCTCGAGCTTCTCGATTTCAGCGTTTAGCTCCTTGATCTGCGCCGAGTCCTTGACGGCCTGGACCTTGCATTCTTCGTTGACGATGCTCTGGTTAGGGTCGACCTTGGTCATCGTAGCATCCCGGCCGAGTTTCAATCTCTCATTCTCATCGGCCACGTCTTCCAACTTAGACTCGAGCTCGCGAACCTTCTTCTCCCAGCGATTCTCGTAGCTTTTCTTCAGAGCTGCAACCTTGGTCTCGTGCTTGCTCTTATAGAGTGCGTGCAGTTCGCGGGCGACACGCTCCACCGCGATTTCGACCTCGCGGGATCCGGGATTCTTAGATTTGTCGGGCGACTTGACGCTGCCGGAGTCGGAGCTCGCGTCAGAAGTGGCCTTGCTGGCACGCATGCCTGCCATCTTGCTCTCGGCCTCTTGCGCCATCATCTCGGCTGCCTCGCGACGCTTCTCGCTCTCCTCGAGCTTGGACTCGAGTTCTTCACGCTCCTGCTGGCTCATGGCGATCTCCTGTTTGACCTTGAGGAGAACAGCCTCCATGTCCCAGCTGCGCTTCTCCCAGCTGTCCTTCTCCTCGGTTAATGTTTCTTTTAACGCTTTGATCTCGCGGAGCTGATCCATGCACTTGCCCACTCGCGTCTCAGCGTCACCGACTGCTGTTTTGAGAGATAAGACCTCGGCTTCTTTGCCGCTAAGGGAAGCCTTGAGGCTACTGATCTCGGACAGAAAACCTGACTTGAGCGATTCGAGCTCCCTAGGTGTTACAGTGGGGATGCTGCGAGGAGTAGGGAGAGGGGGGATATCGAAGTCGAGCAGGTTGGATTGCGGTCTTTGCGGTGTCGCAGCAACCGAGTTCCTCGATGGTCGATTTCGGCTCGGGGTCTGTTGGACATATCTAGAGGACAAGCCGCTAATCTGCTCGGTGAAATCCATGAGCAGATTAGTCGTATTTCCAGTGTCATGCATCGTGGGGGGCCTAGGGGTTCTCTGGGGCGATGGCTCGCGGCGGCCTCGTACACTGGTGGGAGTGGTGCCGACGTTGGCGAACTTCGTAGGGCTGTGTCCAATTCTGGCGAACATGGTCATGTTCGGCACCGCAGAAAATGTGCTAAAGGTGCTAATCATGGTGTCGTCTGGGCACGAAGGCTCATCTTCAGGCTGCTGGTCATCGATAGACATGGCTGTGACATCAACTTCGTCATCTTCATCCTTCTCTAATATAGTATCCTCATCCTCAAAAATCTTAATGGCATTTGCCAAGCCCTCGTTGTGACGAAGCGCTTCCTCAATTGACATATCATGCTCCTTCACCGGGGTCTTCTGGGTCTCGGGAGGCGGTGATGGACTACTGTTAACCTTGACTGGGAAACGCTTCTCGGGAGCTACCTTTCTAGGACTCTTGACTGGTGAAATTTTCTTTTGAGGTGGTAGAGATTCGGCGTCAACATTCTCGTCTTTGGTGATTAAGATCTTGAGAGGCGTGAGCTCATTACCGGATAATATTCTAGAGTGACGCGACTTGGAAGGCGAAAAATCGCTCTGGTTATGAACGACTTTGTCCTTATCTTTGTCCCCGTCCCCGTCCATCTGAGAGGCAGACGGAGGAATTGCCGCGTCGTCACCACTCGTGATGCGCTCGGTAGTCATCTTGGCTGTGTTTAATTGTACTTCGTATTGGTCCAGGTCCAGGTCCAGGTCCGGGTGGAGAGGATGATTGGTTAGAGGTGTTGAAATATTCAGCGCCGCGTTCTTAGAGGGGGAAAGTGGTAAAGCCATTCACCGAGGCTTGAACCAAAATTAAATATCGGGAATAGTAGTAGTGGTAGTGGTCAAAAGAATCAATTGATAATTGAAAGGACAAGGCCGCGCGATTGTTTGGCCTGATTATGCATTCGAATTCGTTCATTCAATTGATTTTTGAAAATGCAGGCGGAGTTAAGAAAATAGTGTACGGATTAAGGAACGAACAAAAATCAGAAATTGATTTCTGAACTTGTGCTTAATTGGTTCCTCTCAAGTTGACGGAGCAACGCCGGTACACAACTACGTAATCCCTGCACGCAACCTCCGAAACTTTAATTTCCTTAATTTAGGGCTTAGCGTGGTGTTTTTCTTTGCTTACTAAACAAATGCACGTGATTCTATATTCCAATAAACGACCTACGCTAACGAGTTAGTACCCATCATTGTACCTACAAATTCAATCAAATTGGCCTGGAGTTTGACCAAGCCCCGTACGACATAATGCATTGAACATTACCTTATTATACCCAAAATTGTCAAGTGGCGAAACCAAAAGCCAACAGCGGCAATGTGTGGCTTTAAGAATGGCACTGTGGCGGAGCGGTCTAACGCGTATGACTCGAATTTATGATTTTACTTAAGTACTATCATGTAGATACGATAGTATCATATCTCCTAGGAGGCGCCCGTTCGAATCGGGCCAGTGTCGAAGTTGTAACTCTTTTTTTTCCTTTTTCTCTATTTCTTTCAGTAAAAGGTTAATACTATATAATTGTTTATTATAGCTTATTTAAATGTTCAAGTCGATCCAGGAAGCCGGGGACAAAATCGCAAGATGGGATTCTCAGGCGCAGACCGCGCCGAGGACGACGCGGCCGCGCTCCATCTACGGTAAACCTTAAGCATGACTACAAAGCTAGGGAGGAATGGCTTAGAGAATGGTCTTCCAACCTTAGCTCAGAGGACAACATGATAGGGAGGTGGAGGGAAGCATGGGAAGCGGCGGAAAGGCGCCGCACCACCCCCGCCTCGCAGACTCCCCCGAATGACGTAGCAATCAAAGAATGGTATTACGGCCTAAGGAAACACGAAGCCTCAGCCCTGCTACAAGTCCGGACTGAAAAGATAGGCCTTAAAGCGTTCCTCTTCGAAAGGGGAGTCCCGGACATAAACACACCTAGGTGTAGCTGTGGCAGTGGACAAAGGGAAACTGCATATCACATAATCATGGAATGCCAAAGGCACACACGCGAGAGGGAGGCGCTACGGGGGCGGATCGCCCCCAAGTAACTGCTGACTCGAGGTGACTACTTACGCGCTTTAGTCTACCCAGAGCAAACAGGTATAATTGTAAGATGGATCCTAAGGAGGAATCTTCTTCCAATGTACAGAGTGGCACTGTCACTGGCAACAAGGGAACGGGTACAGCTCAAAGAGAGAAGAAACCGAACAGCTCACGTACCGCTGGCGGGAGACGGGAGAGCATGAATATATTGCCACTACGGCAAGACCTACGAGAAACCGCACAATTGCCTTGTTCCACACCAAACCTTTCACCGTGTTACCCTGTGCAACACACCCTGCACTACCTACACGACTTCTCCTTTCATTATCATTCCTGTCAGGAGGGTGAGCTTCTGCAGTGGAAAAATAGGAAACTATGCCGTCGCGCAACGGAGACGGAGAGCAATCGGAGCGGGTTAGGTTTTCTCCGGCACACGGTTCCTACCCGAAAAGTTACCCTGCAGCAGCACCGCATGCTCTTTACGACATATGTATCACATAATCATGTAAAATAACGAGCATTCGGAGTAAGAAAATAATAAATTATTATTTATTTAAATGATAAGAATCACCTTTTCGTCGTATTCACATTAAAGTTATAAGGAAATATCAATTATCCTTCAAATCAATGCTGGTTATCCATTACATTATAGTCCTTACGGTATAAAGGGTAACAATTAGTTGATAACAACATTGTAACGTAAGGAACTCCAAACTCAATTACGTTACATCGTGATGCATACAGAAAGTATCCTTTCCTTCAGGTGCACACTTATAACATATCGCAACCCCAATCAGGGGTTAGTTATGGCACAAGTTAACCAGCTCCGGTTAATAGTCCTTCACCTGTTACACTCATGTCACGATACAGCCCGTTCCTACGGAACTGGGTGGATCATGTGATCCCAGATCTTCCAAGTGGTTGGTCACGTGATCTCTTCAATTGAGCTGTAGCTATATATAGATCTCCTGGGAACCGGAGCTACGCTCCCTTCCCTTTCTTAATTCATACCTTTCAATGCATGAGATCTGGCACCTTTAACTATGTGATAACTCATTTACAAAAGGGTTCGTAATTCATACCGAATTGAAAGTGTTTATTATCTAGGCTAACTCCTTTATCTTACAGCTACCAATTCATTTATCAAGGACAACAAATAGTTAATAAATACAGTGGTGTATAATACATCTATGAGTTGTGGCCTGATTGGTCTACGATATGGTCGAGTTATACCCTAAGGCTGCGGGTTATTCTCAATACACCATGTAACATCGGCATGTCCCAAGCCATTGGAAATATTTAATATTATTCCATTTGCTGACATGCCAGCAGCATGTCGAAGCCTTGGAAGTTATACACGCCCTTACGTCTTACAAACTTCAAATAAACATCTCGTTTGCTTGTGGGAATCTAGTCTCAGCCACCTATGATCAAGTAAATATTATCCGGTTCAATATGATCCCCTTCCTTCGAGGTAACCACGCGGTCAAGGCCACCGATAGTTTCGACGAAAACCTATAATAGCTCTGCATTGGTGGGACGCCTTGCCGGGGGGGGGGGGGGGACATAACGTATATATTACATATATCACAGACTATATCACGGATGACCAAAGATACTGGTTAGACAACCAGAATTGACCGATATCTCTATCATATATGTTGAGTGTTATAAAAAAAGGTAGGTAAGAAAGTCTTCATCCCATTCACTGCTGGCTAGGCGCGGTACCTTTTCTACATAACGCTTGTTATAATGGAAGAGCAGAATACCATTTTGCTTTAACCTTTTCCGTGTGAATACAACAAGATATATATATATATATATATTAGCAGTATTAAACGACAATGACAAATGTCATGAAGATCCGTTAGGTGGCAAAAAGTCATTTTGGCCAGTCACGAATCGATAAAATGGATGTCTCGACCTTTCTTTGAAATCCGAGTGACTCGAGTGAAAACAAATTTGGTCGACGGGCGAAAGCCAATGTTAGATGTTTCTCCGCGAATCATCTTCAAGAGACTTGTAAACTACAAATTGCAGTTGACCTAAATCTTAATCAGCTTTATTCAAACTGGGATCTGCCGGCACCCTCACAGCATCCACCTGTATCCAACAGACTTTTTATACACCGAAAAATATCGTTGTGGTCCTTACCCAACCCGTGATTCAACGCTAGATGGGGTACGGGCTTATCAAACCCTCTTGGAGGGCACTGGGGGCAATATTTAATGACTAGCCCATCGTCTTGTATGCTTCTCCCTTATCCACCGTAACAGCGTGCGAACGTTCGGACCGTCCAGATCTTTCTTGTACGTTGCGAATAGTACAGTTCTAGTAGCGACAACATGTCTCGGCATTTATTAGAAGCCATCATATCGCGCGTCATCGTAATATTATAACCGTATAGCGATCCTTCCACTGGTCGTGGGGATAAAGGATGGCGTCAAAGGACTTCTGTTGGAATAAACTCAACCCTTTTGGGATTCGAGGCATTAAGAGAAATGGTTTAGGCTGGTTCTCAAGTAGGTCATTGTCGCAGTGAAAACCATGGCTCCGTTCGTCGAAGCTGCCTTAAATATATGTCGTCAGTTTGCCAGCTGCCACTTCAAATCGAGGTTTTTTCACAATTATTGCTTGTCTTTCCTTAGCTTTATTCTGTCTCTCGTGAAGAATGAACATTCCATAATGTTGATAGATAGGCTTGTTATTTAAGTTCGGCTACTTTCTAAGGCGCTGCATTATTTAATAAATGTGACTCTGCTTCTCGTGCCACTTGGAGCTATCATATTAATACTTGATAAAATAAGAAAGTGAGATCAAATTGACAAGTTCATTTGGCCTATGGTAAAGCTTGGGATTAGGTATCGATATTCTAATATATCGATGATCAAAGCTAACACGTTATAAGGCTCTATAGGTTTGTAGGTTTGCCTCAATGATTATATCGAGACATATCCACAAGAGCCTAACCTTGGCGTTGAATATTCCAGGGTCTCGCAACGTTGATGTCTTGCATGTGCTAGGTTGCACTGTACGATACTTGAAGTTGATGTATGCGCTCTTTCATGACATTGGTCAGATGCAGGTGGCGGCGGTGAGCGCGAATTACGAATTACGGTGATGGCTTAGTTGGGACCCGACAACTGAATCAATCATATGAACCGAGACTTGCATGGCTCGAGCTGTTCGAAGCCGTCTTGGCTAAACGTGTTTACTTTGTTCGTCTACGTTTATCCGGTGTGCCCTTATATGAACCGTAGCTGAAGAAACAATGTGTGTGTATTGGTAGGTAGATGTTGCGCCTGGCTTTTATACTGCAGCTGAAGTGTCGTTGTTGAGGAGGACGGAATTCTTGGGATTTGCCCAACAGAAACCGATAGGTATAATACGTAATACGGGCTGTAACTCGTGTGTACCTATTTTTAATTATTACGGTTTATTAAATATATTCTCATACGCATTTAATACATGTCCTACATATATAGGTTAAGTACATATAGATATTGATAATGTTTTTAAAACAATAATAATAAAGTATTTCATATATAAAAGTACTTAAGTGTTACTTACGCCAAGTACTTATTCATGATATGTAACTTTTTCGAGCTTATGATAAATCAGTCGGTTCGCCGTACAGTCCGTACTCTCATCACACGATATCTGGTAGGCCCTTAGCTGATAACTGCAGATAGTGTACGTAGTACATATTATGGATTGAGGATCGTGGCACAGGGTTTGGGCAAGCTGTAATCCACTCAACGCTTGCATGTGGACATAAAAGAGAGCCCTTATTTGGTTAAGCCGATACCAGGACCCCAGAACCTTGATCATATAATTGGGTACCTCTACATCTGCATTGACATGGATAGATAGGCAGGTACATACGGTACCATTGATACTTAACTACCCCGCACAGGGAACAGGCCAATTCAGTGTTCCTTAGTGGGGGGAAGCTTAACTGGCTTCACAGTGGGGTTAATCCGTAACTCTCTTCGTTTCTAACTTTTTTTCTCTTTTTTCAAAAAAGATCAGACTTTGGAAATATACCTCACTTCTTTTTTTATTTCTTTTCTCCCCTCTACTTATTCCGTCTCCGTTCCCTCTTCTCCTCTTCCTATTCATATCTATAATTTCTTCGATTCAACGCTTCCTAGTCTCCTAGACTCTTCCTTGACAGTCACTCATACAACAAACACACACACACACAGACAAACAACTAATAAACTCCTTCGTTGCCTCGATATCTTTATCTCGAGCATTACCTAGATAATGACGTCCTCTCTTGACCACCTCGCCTCGGGAGGCCGTGTTGAATGGCTTTCTAGCCTTAACACATCCACGGCACCTGATACGAATGCCCATCGACGATCCTCTATCATCTGCACCATCGGACCTAAGACCAACTCGGTCGAGAAGATCAACGC